TAAATAATTGTTTATATCTGTAGTTTGAATATTAGTACTCTTGTATAATTTTTGGTAGTATTCTAAAACAGATTTCTTAATCAATTCTTTCTGATAAACCAATTTACCATTATAATTTATTTTATCTATATTCCTCTGTTTCTGTTTCTTTCTTAACTGATAAGCCAACCATCTCCCTGGTTTATTAGCGTTACAAAATGTATTTTGTTTCATAAATAGTAAATTGGTTGCAGCTTGATCAGCCATCAACATGTTAAATTGTGTTTTTAACAGTTTTATAGCTCCTTTCACCTTTTCATCTAAAGGATTTGAAATTAGGAGTTTCTCTTTTAATTTAATCTCCTCTTCTAAATCTTTACGTTTCTGAATCTGTTTCTGTCTATGCAAGTTATTCATTTTTATCAAAATACCACGCATAAAAGCTTTACTTGCATCCCACACCATTGACATTGATGTTCCCTTATTCATATTTAAAGCAAAATATTCCTTTAAACATTCCTTTAGTTTATGGACATTTTTTTCTTGTTTAAATAAATTCTCATTCACCCTCCAGGATCTCCTGTCTTCTTTCTCAGCAAACAGTTCCATCCAAACTGGACTATGATCAGACAATGTCCTAGGAAAAATTTTTACATTCTTCACCCTGTTGTATAAATCTGTTGTGATAAAAAAAAAATCAATTCTTGAGAAAGATTGGTGTCTATCTGAGAAGAAGGTAAAGTCCCTTTCTTCTTGGTTACGTTCACGCCAATAGTCTCTCAATTCCCAATCTTCTTTCATGTCAAAGAAGGCTTTAGGTAGTTTAGCCTGTTTAAAAAAAGTAGAAGAGCCTTTTTTGTCCTTTTGTATATCTAAGACACCATTCCAGTCTCCCATTAAAATCACAGATCTATAGTCCAACAAGGTTATTTTCTGATGTAGCAACCTGTAGAATTGCTCCTGTTGCTGGTTTGGTGCATACAGCCCCACAATAAGAATTTTCTTGCCATATAAACCAAGTTCAAGCATAACATATCTTCCATGAGGATCTGATTCTAACAGGATAGCAGATAAATTCTGCTTAACATAAATTACCACACCCCCTTTTTTCCCAGGGGCGGGAGATACAAAATGAGATCCCAAACGAGGATTGTTTAAGTATTTTTGATCTTTAGATGTAATATGAGTTTCTTGCAAGCAGATAATATCATTGTTGTGTTGCTTTAAATAATGGTAGATTTTTTTTTCTCTTTTGAGGAATATTTAATCCATTAACATTCCAGGTCAGGAGCTTTGCCATCTCCCTTGGCCTTGAGCCTGGAGAAGATCCCCTCAAATTCTGCTACTGAAGAATATGTTGTAGAGCTTTTGGGTCTTGCTCCTCCCACCGGCATTGAGACAATTTGCTGAGTAGATTCTTTAATTTCTTTTTCTTTTTTCTGTTGTTCTTTTTCTTTACGTTTATGTGCTGCACGGGTCATTCTCTGTTCTTTAACCTCTGCTTGAGACATCCATACCACCTGTCCAGCAGTCATCGCACCTGTACCTTCAGGTTTCTGTTCCATCTCTTTATCACTCAGGACTTTGTGCATCATGGGCAAAGGTGAGCCTGCACCCAGGACCGTTTTGTAAAATTCCTTAGCTTTAACAACTGTATTAAGTCTATAACGTGTCCCTGCATGGCTCAAAACAATACCCATCGGAATCTCCCATCTAAATGGCATCAGTCTTGCTTTAAGTTCATTTGCTAGAAAAGCAAAATCTTTTCTGCTTCTTAAAATTTTAGGTGGAATTTCCTTTAAAATAATAATATCTTGGGCAGCAATCTGAAATCTTTTATTGTAAAAAATTTGCAGAATCTGATTTCTCAAAGACTTCTTAGCAAAATATATCACCACATCTCTAGGCAGATTCTTCTGTTTTGCAATCCAAGAATTAACTCTATAAATTCTTTCCACTTCCCCACGTAACTCATCTTTATCTATATTCAAAATAACAGCCAAGTCATTAATCACCATTTCCATCAAGTCTTGGGTTTTATCTTCTTTCAGGCCTCTTATTCTCAAAGCATATTCCATCTGTCTGTACTGAAACATGAGAATATCATCTTGTGAAGTTTCCACTTTTTTCTGCATATCTTGGAATTTATAATCCAAAAGTTCTACTGTTTCTTCAATTTCCTCCACTCTAGAATCCAGCTTCACGACCACTGAGGCCACTCCAGATAAAGCTAAAAGTATGTCATCCCTCAAAATAGTATTATTTTGTTCTAAAAGCTCCTTCATCTCTTTCTTCATTTCTTCCTTGCTTTCAGTGGAATGTTACTGTATTGATATAAATTATAGAAACCACATTTTGAATGCCAGACAGCATTTTCCCTTCCTTCCTTTTTATACCAAAAAGAGTTAATATAGAACTTTAATTTCCATGTCACACTTTCTTGTTTCCCTGGGGTGAACTAATATTTTATTAATTTATTTATTACTCCAAGGTAATTTCTGTGGTTCTCAGCAGAAACATACAGTCTTTCACAGACATTCTTTCCTTGAACTCTTGCACATTTGTCTTCTCCATCATACTTTTCTTTATCTAATACCTAATGTTGATAAAGGATATTTGAAATAAGAGGTTGTCCAGTGTCTCACCTCAAATTAAGATACAGAATGGAAAATCTGAATAAGAGTTTGAGCATTATAATTGATTGGATGAGGGCCAGTTAACTAAAACTGAATCCTGTGGTGCATTGTGGGAAGAAGTATGCAAACATATACCCAACAGAGCTGGTAAATAGGCAGCCAAACTACTACTCAGCAATAGCATTGTAGTCTCCTTGCTAATGGAACAATGCTATACGCTAATAATAAATAATAATAGCTTATAAAGCAATTAGGTAAAATTGCTTCTAAATGTCTTGTGAGACAGCCTTTTTTAGACATTAGTGTTTTTAAATGTGACAAATCAGCATTGTTGTAGTGGAGGAACCTGGTATTCTGCTAAAGTAGACAATATTTTAAAGGGCTATAGCTTATCTTGCAGTTTTCTGGAGGATCTCAGGAGGTTGTATGATGTGACAATCTCACTAGCCAGTGGTGTTTTGTTGTTGTTTTGTTTAAATAATATTGGAAGGTTTCCAACTTTCATCCCAATTTTTAAAGTTTGTAATATAATTTCTATTTAACATTTTTTAAAAAAGAAATATGAAAAAATAATACAAACTAATATAAAGTAAGAGAAAGAATAAAAAATAAGTTAGAAGAAAGCTGAAAATGCAAGAAAGAGGAAAGAAAGAGAAAAAAGAAAAGATACAAAGAATAGCTTCAATTCAATTATAAACTTATTTCTTACTCTGTGGTTGCTTTTTCATTTATAATCCATCCTATCTAAAAACCATAAATCATAAGTTCTTTTTTTGTTGCCCCTAAAGGTTTCTAGTCAACATTTTGTATAGATACTATCTTTTCTTTGATCAGAGAAACCAATTTGGCCTTTTCAGCAAGTTCCATCATCTTATATCACCAACCATTCCTCCTTTGTGAATAGTGCCAAATCTTTCCATCTTTGTGGATACAATAAACTTGCTGCAGTTATCATGCACAAAAACAAAGTTACATGATTTTTTCCAACTGTTTGTCCATCAATTCCAAAAGAAGAGCCTGTGATCTAAATTATATATTAATCTTTAAAAACCTCTGAATCAGTATATGTGCTTAAATCCAAACTTTTTAGGGTTTTTTACGTATCTATCAAACATGATGAAATGTTCCCTTCTTGTTGATGTTTCCAATTTAAATTTGAGATGCCTTTATAGATTCAGGACAATTTGTAATATTTATCAACAGTATATCATTTTATAAAATTCTCTTTAAGGTTATAATATAGTGTAAATTTCAGTTCTTTCCACTACATATTTTCCCATCGTTCCATCTGTATATTGTAATCAAATTTTGTATTCCTCTTTATCATACGTTCTTTCACATGTCAATAAAAGTGTATAAGTTTTAACAACTACGTGTTCATCATTTGTATACAATTCAGTCTAACAATGTTCAAAATCATAAATTCTTTTGTATGCTTTAAATCTTTCTAATAATTGCAAATAAGAGAAACATTGGCCGCCGTATTATTTATTTATTTATTTATCACATTTATGTAGCTGCCCATTATACAAGAGTGACTCTGGGTGATGTACAACAATGAATAAAAATAATAAATATATAAAAATAAGTATAAGCACATGAAAATTATTACAAATTAAAAGTGCTATAAAAGTGAAAATATTCAAACCATACAGAGTAAAAAGATCAACTACTGTGGAGCCATCCGGATCTCTGGTAATGGTGATAAAACCAGGTTTCAAAGTTTTGCTGCCATATAATCCGGAATGATAATGGGTATGAAGCTAATCTGACTTCAGGAGTAGAATATTCCATAAGGTGGATATCATAGAAGAGAAGAACTGCCTTCTGAGTTCCACTGCATGTAGGTTCCTGGCAGATAATACCTGCAACATGCCTTCTGTTCTAGATCTAATGGGACAGACTGATGTAATCAGGTAGTCCATCGGATAACCTGGTTGCATAGCATGAGTGGCTGTGAGATCATTTATTTTCATGAGCTTGTTTGGATATTAATACCATGAGAAGCATCCTTAAAGTTGTTCTTATTTTCAAAAATGTGCTTGCTAGGCATATGGGAAAGAACTTTTCTCTATATGGCCATCAATCTATGAAAGACCCGCACTCCCATTCTTTTCATGAAGAGATCATGAAAAAAATTGAGACTTCTCTTTAACAAGATTTTTGGCACTTAATTGACAGTACTTTTAGATGATATTTTATTGTATTAGATGTTTTGTTTTTTGACTATCTTGAATCCCTTACCAATAAAAATATTACTTTAGGAAAAAGAATACTAAATAACAGCAATGCTTTCATTTTTTTCACAAGTACAAATGTTTCTTTGTTACTTAGGAGAAGTCCTCATTTTTCATATCATTTAATTTAACTTTCTGATTTTTCTAGAGCACTCTGACCTCACGAGCAAAAAGCTTGACTTTGTTGCCCATTGGAACAGCTAACTCCACATCTCTCAATTCTCAAAAAATTGTAAATCAGAGTGGGCCTCCAGTTGTCACTATAACACATCACAAATCTCCTGTGGTAGCCCGAAAAACCAAACCTCTGTATCCCCACCAGCTTCATGGAGTCAGAGAAGTAAGAAATATGTGAAATTCTTCTTTGGGTGAAAATGTGATGTAATCTCTGGAGTACATGGTTAGATATTTATTTAGAATTTGTCTTCTTTGTACTATAGAACACTATAAAAAAAATTAACACTAACAATTTATCTAAATTGTTGAAGTCCTTAAAAGCTAACTACTAGTTTTTACTAAATTGTATTGGTAAAGTATTTATGTAAAGCAAATATTTTGAAGTGTTTGGGCTGGTAAGCTTTTATTGGAGTTTCAAAAGAATCTTTGGGATACTCTCACAAAATCACTGCCTTGATAAGAGTAGGCAGTCCTAAAATCAGAAAAAAAGGATGTATCTTTGTCTTTTAATATTAGAGATTTGTAATCATAAAGTTCAGTATTTGATGAGGGAAGAAACTAGAATGATGTGGGTTCAATTTAGTATTTTGCCTTTGAGGCAGAATTACATGCATTCATGGATTTGTCAAATACTTTTCTGTTTAAAATGTCCTTATTTTTTCAAACTTCAAAAGAAAAAAACCCCAACCAAACTACAATGATTGTTTTTCAATTAAAAGTAATGAGAATGTATATAGTAATGTTTTTTTAAAAGGGAAAGCCTCAACAATGAAAGCTTTTGCTAATGGAACTGTGGCTTGAATGCTTCATAAAGAGGGAAAACATTGAGGTTATTGATGGTAAATTGTTAAATATAATGGGAAAAAAGCTATAAAAACTTTTGAAAGGATTTGATACATCATGGTGTATTACATAACAGTTGAATTTCAGACCTAGCACATAATGTACGTGAGCAATTTGGAAATAAACCTCTGTTTGGTTAACAATGACAGACACTCGCAGATACAGAATTTGTATTATAAACATTGGAAAACTAGAACATTACACTACGTTTCAACCTAATTGCCATTCAAATTGAGGCACTTGTCATAACGTCTTACAATGTTTGAAATTCCTTCTGCAAAAAAATCTCCCACCTGGGAATAAAGTAACCTTGTAACAGCATTGTGAACCCATTTGGTGTGTTTTGTGTTCCTCAGAAAGGAGTTTTGGTACCCAATGAGCACAGAACTTGTGGTATCCCAAATTTTCTGTCAAAACAGAAAATTGTACAAAACAGTCTGAGAAATTTGGAGAAAGTGTAAAGAAAGTGCAGATATTGTGAATCGACAGACTTCACGGACCTTTTTGTCAGTTTCCTATATGAGTTCATTGCTGACTACAGATGGGCGGCCACTTCTTGCCTCATCATGCATGTCAGTTCGTCCATCTTTAAACATTCGACACCACTGATGTATGACACCTTCACTCATCACATTTGGTCCATAAACATTACACAATTTGTGATGAATCACAGCCACTGAAACGTAAAAAATCAAGCTAGGACAGGTGTGGGTGTTGGAGCTGCCCCATGTGCCCTGCACCCGTTTACCTCAGGACCGCAGCTGCCAGGTCTCGCTCATCTTGACACCTGCCTCACCTTGTGGTGGCGGTACCAATAGCCCTGTGAAGCAGGAGGCCGTGTGGCCACTGGAGACCTACTTCTGCAGCCACTCGCTGCTGCTCACATGCGTCGTCCCTGGCCTCCGTTTCATTGCAGAGGCCTTCAGAAAAGGCCTGTGCAGGCCAGAACGGAGGTCCAGGTTGACATGCACATCGCTCCCCAGCCTCCATTTGGCCTCTGCCGGCAAAATGGAGGCCAGGGGTTGATGCATGCGTCAATCCGTAGCTCTATCCTCAGCTGCACAGGCCTTTCCTAAAGGCTTCTGTTGTTGAAAGGGAGTTTGGAGGCGACATGTGCGAGTGGCGGCAAGCCACTGCAGAAGAAATGGGCCAGTGGCCCAGGTCTTGTTTTCGGGGAAACATAGGTAGTAACAACATTTTCCAAATTGTTGGACCAAGATGCAGTCTCTACATATACATTAAACTGGTTGCATTATCCACTCCATAAGCAAACCATATCCAGTTTTTAACATTCTATTTTTGTAACTTTACTATTTTTTCAATCTTTTCAAAGTGTTTATGAGTTTACCACTTTATTTGTCATAAAATCTTTGTAATAGTCTTTGTAGCATTTTCTCACTTCATTTCATCCCAAATCATTATGAATCTTTATTTTTAGTCATTGTACTATGGACACATTTAAATTTTTCTACATATTTCATAGCACTTTTTATTTCCATCAAAATTGCCCCTTTCTCTCCTTCTTTTCTGTTCTCTTTCAGTACATTCTTTGCAAGCGTCGTTTACTTATATTCACATTATGTAACTTTCTGTTATTCTCATTTCTACGGCATTTTCATATATGCATTTTCTTCATTCACAGTCTTTTACTTCATCATTTCACCAAGGGTCCTTTTTCATACTGTACTTTCCATTAGCATGCTGACTTCTATGGCATTCTGTAACATAATTCTCTTTACTCTGTTCCAAGTGATTGCCGCATTCTTTTTTCCTTGCACTCATTTTCTGTTTATCCACTTGGGAAATGAATCTGCTTTTTCATAAAGGACTGATATTTCTTCCTCAATTAGTCTGCTTTCACTCTATTTTATTTTACTTCTTACCCGTTTAAAATGGTAAGGATTGTATTGCATCTCAGAAAATGGGATGCCGTGGAATTAACTTTTTGTGAAATTAAATTTTGTATTTCTATAAATTTAAGTAAAATATATATTTGCAGATTATGGCCCAAGTGGAAGGACAGCAGAAGAACTTAGTGCAAGGCATTGAATCCCTTCCAGGTTCTGGTCCTCTTTCTGCCTTTGACCAAGACTTGCTGCTTTTAAAAGCTACCTCTGCTGCTGCTCTCAGTTGCCTGGGAGAATGCCTGCATTTGCTTCAACAGAATATAAGCCAAGTGAGCGCACCTCGGAACAGGACATTACCTTCAGGTGCGTAAAGTTGGCTAGTTTCTTTCTTTCATTTTTTGTCCCTTACTGGCCATGTGTTGTTGTAGTTGCCATAGGACTAGAGTTTTTCAGTTACACAGTAGATGAAAATTTTGTGCGGTTTTTAGTCAAAGTTTATCAAAAGGAGATCTGGAATTTCAGTAAATAACAAACTATGTCATTATTAAAATGTATTTTTATCTTGAGAATAACATTAAATTTTACACAGTATTTATACATGTACCTTATGTAGAGAGAAAATCATAGAGATGTTTTTGTCAATAATATATGAATGTATTCTATACTATTATTTTTGATATTAGATTAATTCAAAGAAATATAATGAAGATGTTGAATCAGTATATTATATTTCTAAATGTACTCCATTGGCCTATGCAAAGCTGCTGAGTGATTTAGCTGTTCTTGCTAAAGCATTTTTTCAAATCATGATGTAATTATATCCATCCATCCATCCATCCATCCATCCATCCATCCATCCATCTATCTATCTATCTGTCTATCTATCTATCTATCTATCTATCTATCATCCATCTGAGATACTATCCATCTCTCCAGTAGGACAACTCTGGGAGGTTTACAGGACATAAAAGGTAAATAGAAAAGCAATTAAAAATTTAAAACTATGCAGTGAAAAGGAATCAAGGAGATGGATGCTTTGGGTATAAGGTCTTCTTATCCCATTAACCACCTTCAGCAGTGAGTACCTCTACGGAGTACAAAGACAACTGGCAAAACCAAGTTTTAATGCCCTTCTGGAAGATCAGACAGGTGGGAGCAGTTCTCAGCTCTGCTGGTTAAATGTTCCACAGGGTCAGGGTCTCAGTGGAAAATACTCTTCTTCTTGCCCTGCCAACTGGAATTCCTTAGCTGACAGGCTCCATAGCACTGGTGCAAGTAGGGTGGGCCAGTTCCATTGTAAGTAAGACGGCTCCTCAAATACTCTGGACCTACACATGTAGGGCTTTAAAGGTAATAATCAACACCTTATATTGGACCTGGAAGGAAACTGGTAAACAATGCAGCTTGAGTAACAACAGTGTTATATGTGCCACCTAGAGGCCCCAAGGATTGTGCATGCCATGCATTCTGTACCAGCTGTAGCTTCTGAATATTCTTCAAGGATAACCTCATTACAGTACATTGTAGTAATCCAAATGAGAGATGATTAGGGTATGAGTGACTGTGCTCAGGGCCTCATGATTCAATTAAGGGTGCAACTAGCTAAATATAAAATTGTGCAAAAGCCCTCCTAGCCACCACTGCCACCTGGTCTATGAGCAGGAATCATGAATCCAAGAGAATTCCAAGTTGCGCACTGGGGCTCTCTGGATTAGTACAACTGTATCCCAAAATAAAGATGATAAACCATTGGAATCTGAGGTACCCTGCACCCGCAGTCAGGATTCAGTTGAAACTTGTTGTCCTCCATCAAGACCCCAGGCATTGAGAAAGGACAGCTACAGCATCTTTTGGACCACCAGGATGTCATCAGCATATACTGATAATATTTCATCCCATGGTGTCGGATGATCTTACCCAGCAATTCCATATAGATGTTAAAAAAGAGTGGAGAGAATACCAAGTTCTGTAGCACTGCACAAAGGTGTGGCCATGGGCTGGATCTCTTGCTCTCTATCAACGCTGATTGGAACTGGCCTTGGAGAAAGTAGTCAAACCAATGCAATACTGTACCACTAGCCCTAAGCCCCACTGCTAGCCCAAAAAGATACTTGGTTGATAATATCAAAAACCACCAAGAGGTCAAGAAGAGCAAGAATGGACGCCTGACCCATATCCCACTCTCATCAGAGATCATCCACAAGCACAATCAATGCCATTTCTGTCCCATAACCAGGCCTGAAACCCAGATGAAGGTTGTCTACCTTATCTATTTCATCTAGGGCCCTCTGGAGCTGCAGTGCAATAACTTTTTCCACCACCTTCCCTAAAAAAGGAGAGGTGATAAACTGGATGGAAAATTGTACAGGCAGCTTGGGCCTAATGATGGTTTCTTGGGGGGGGGGAGGGAATCAAGGCATCCATGAGCCATGAACACCTTTCCTGCAATGATGTTTTAATCACTGCTTGGACCCAGATTGCTCTCTGAAGGCTTTTACCAGCCAGGAGGGCAAGGATCTATTAAGGATAGCTGCAAAGAACCTGTCTACTTCCTCAGGTCCAACAGGGTCAAACTATTCCTGGATAACTGGGCAAGTTTGTTCCTTGGATATCTAATGAACTTGCTCCATGCATGATCTCAAACTGAACAGACTCTAGCAATTTTATCTGTCAGATGTTTGACAAATTCCTCTGCACAGCCCTGTGAGTATTTTTCTGAGCTTTCCTTTCCAAGGAGGAACCAGGGCTATCAGGTGACACTCTGTGGATTCAACAAGACTGGAGAAATAGTGATGCTTCGCTGCTCTTACCATCATAATGTATAGTGGCTTGACTTGTGTTCAGTTGGATTTGTTCTGAGTTTTCTTCCAGCAGCACTCTAGCAATATTTTGGGACTTTTCAGCACCCTCAGCTCCTCTGCAAACCATGGGGAGTTTTGGGAGCAATGGGCCATGAGAGGACACATGGGTGCAATCATATCAGAATAACAGTATGGCACAGTTGGAAGCAACCACGGAGATCTTCTAGACCAATACCTTGCTCAGGTGGGAAACCTTATACCATTTCAGACAAATGATTCTCCAATCTTTTCTTTAAAGCGTCAAGGCTCTGCTGCTTTCTGATTCAAAGTTGCGGCCAAAATCTCCTAGGGCTCCCATGGGACATTCCCCTGCTGCTGGAACCCAAGCAGATCCACATGGCCCAATCTATCTGCTATCTTAGATTCAAATTATATTCATTCTTTTTTTAATCAAAGAAATGCACTACTGCAAAGTAGCATTCTTTGAATATTTTTGAATTTCAACCAGGTCAATTCAAGAGAACATTTGTATTTGAGATGCACAATAAAAAAATCCAATGTTTCCCATATGAATCTGAAATCCTACTATTAAAAGTAAACCCCGTATTTCTTACTTAGTTGATCACCCTGGTATGTTGGCTTGGCTCAGCATATGAAATTTTGATTCCATAAGTATAAAAAAATCAGATGTCAAACCTACCTCATATTTAGTAGCTGTATCATTTTAAATGAAAACTTTGTTTTCAAGCTTTGTTGGAATTTCTTTCCTGCCTATGTATGCTTTGACTATATTGACTTGAAGGCTTTTTTGCCCTGTTGACCTGGGATTCTGGAACCAACTGCATTGACTGTAGATCACCTATAGTAAAGCCAAAGAGATCTAGAAATGGTGTTTGCTTTGGTTTCTAGCCATTGGAATGTTTTAAGGCACAAAGCACTAGGCAAGCAAAAAAGCACAGATTCTGGAATTCTTTCCTTATTTCATCACAAACAGTGCAGTATGAGCAAGTGGCATTTGCAGAATTCTGGACAATCAAATAGTCTTGTCCTTGGAGTAGAAACTGCTTCAACTTGATTTTTAATCTAAAAGACAGTTTGTTCATCTATGCCTATATTGTTCTATTTGAAGCAGATTCTTGGCTGTGGTTGCTGCTATGAACGCCAAATGACTGAAGAAATCTCAGGTGCCAGCAGAGTTTTATAAAAGGAATGTTAAGATAATTTTTAAAGTAAATAAATATATTCAGATTCAATTTTAGATGGTTAATAGCACATTGGAATAAAAAAAATATCAGAGCATCTGTGTTAGCCTTGGTAAAAATACTAAACTGCTAAATGCCACATAACAATCAGAAATAGAATTTTCTGTATTAATTTCAAAAGAACCAATTGTATGAAATATTTTTTGTTGGAAGATTGCCATTTACAACAGATACTCAGAGAAATAGATAAATATAGAGACATCTTGATAATTGCTATGACAATAGAAAAGTAAGATGGGTAAAAAATGGCAGGAAAATTTTTTGTCTAGCTCCTTGTCCCATTTTCTTTGGGTTCCTGTTTTTGATTTCATCAAAGGCTACCCTTGCTATTTATTGCCCAAAAACCCTCCAGGAGGCTGTATCCATGAGAGATTTCCAAGAAAGAGGACCCAAAAGCCAGTGTGATTATCACAAGCTTTATTAAAGGTAAATACTTACAGGAGTAAACCTGCAGCGTCCTTGTGACAGATGGCAGGTTATGTATGCTGTGTTCTACCATGGCATTCCATGGCAAGAGGCTGGCTTGCAACACTTTTATAGCCATGAGCAAAACAATATGTGTGCAAAAAATAATTTATCAGTAAAGTGCTCTTCTCATGGACTCCTCAGTTTCTCTGTACTTGACACAATCACAGTGTGTATTCCCAAATATATTGTGTATCATGCTGTGTTTCATTTTTTATACTAAAAGTTCTTGGCAGTGATTAAACATGACCTTAGTTTGGTTCAAAGTATATACATGCATAGGTTCTTATAAAAGGCAGCAGTAGGAACTTTTAAAATTACATCTTTCTTATGTTTCTTAAAACTTTCTGGCCAGGTCTGCTGTTCCACAGGGATGTATCCAGATAGAAATATGCTGAAAGAGATATTTCTTATCTAGGCTTTATATGTCATGGCCCCTGTCCTCACATTGAATAGAGGGAATGCACAGTGCAGGAAGGATATTGCAGATTTCTTTTTTCTTCTTTTAGAAAATATCCTAGTATGGCATGGATCAAAGTCAAATTCTACAGAGATACTGAAAAACAGTGCCCTTGCTTCTTTAACAACAGCGAGCGCCAGTCTATCATGGTCAGTCATACCATCTGTGATACAAGATGACACTATGGTAAGTCTTGTATGAAGATAATTCGAACAGCATTTGTAGACCATATTTGAAGGCTTTGCACATGGTAATGAGTGCATGTTTTGGGGTGGGATACTGTCATATGACAATTTGGTTTAGGTTGTTGTATCTAGGCTTGGTAGTTTATATGGTTTATTTATTTATCAAGAAATTAGAATACGTTGCTGGGAAGGATTGGTCTAATCATATCAATGTCCAGTTTACATCTTGAAAGATTCCAAAATAACATTTTGATACATTTATTTAATTACATAATTGTTGCTATAATATAATCTTTGTTATTTTCTTCTCAAGCCTATGTTTTAGGTAGATAGGAGACTATTTTCCACAGAGTCAGACCATTAGTTGATGCCATCTCAATATTTTTATATGTTGATTGATAGAAGCACTCAAAAAATTTTGATGTAAGCTTTTCCCAAGCCTGCCTGCAATTGCCATAGATTAATTCTATATCATGTAAAGTAATATATTCTAAAACTGATCTAAAATTGTAATGATCTGCCAGTTTCTGACTTTAGAAATTTTATTAGCAAGAAAATTTTTATTAGCAAGAATTTATTTTTAAGATTGCAAGTTACCTGTTAACACTTGTGTTTGGTAGATTACTTCAGAGAACTTCTTAGTTGTTATTATAGGGCTTTCTTATGCTATATAATAGCCATAATATGTGTTCTAGCATATCCTCTTTAGTATTAGTCCTGAAATAAATGGAATATCAATACAGAGCAATCCAACTATATCTTTTTATATCCCATTTTATTTTCCTACTGTCTATTTACTGTTTACTCTTTGGATTTGTAATAATTGGCCACGGAATGCAAATAGGCCATGGACCAGTAGTGGGCCGCGGCCCATAGATTGGGGACCCCTGTTTAATGGACTAATTAAATTCTCAGATCTAAGCTTGTAAATTTCTGACTAGCACTTTTTAGGGAAGTAAGGCTTTGTAGAGAAAAGCAGTTCAGAAAGAGATTCCTTGTTTAAACAATCTCTCTGCTCTTCAAGGGGCAAAAGGGGGGAGGGAAATGGGTCAGGTACAGGACATTGTACAGAGCTTTATAGGAATGAGATGGCAGCATTCAGGGATCTTCACAGCACATCTCTCTCTCAGTCATATGTTCACTTAGCTATCATTTTGCTTAGAAATCAAATTATTGGAATGGAATATGGTTGCTAAATGAGGAAAGATTGTAGTGCATGTAGTGTAAGAAAGAGAACTTTAACAGACAGCTCTCTAATTATCAAATATCTATCTGTAGTTCAGCAACATTTGGAAGACCATCAAGATTTATGTTCTGTGCTCTTGATCAACAGCCCCCAACCTTTTGGATGCCAGGGACTGGTTCAGTGGAGGGCGGTTTTTCCGGGGTATGTGTGAGTTCATGTGCTGCCTGGATCTTGCACGTGCCCAGATAGGGTTTTACTCACTTGCATGGCCTAGTTCCTGGCTGTCTGTGGAGTGTTCCTGGTCCACAGGCCGTGGGTTGGAGCCCCTGCCAAGTTAAATATTGAAAAAGTAGAATGGTAATATGAGATGAGGGACTAAAGGAGTCTTCCCCCCTCTGCCCCCCCCCCAGGATTGCATCTTAAGAATACTTAAAATCTTATTATTTGAATATTTAAATCTTAGTGATTGACCCTTGGATTTGCAGATATCAATAATAGTAGGATGTTTTGACAATCCTTTTAATATATACACTACACAGAAGCAGGTAACAATAGAAAAATATCACGCTAAGGCACTCTTTTCTGCTGAATTGTTTTGAATTATGAATTTAGGTTGAAATTTTGTAGCATATTTGAAGTGGCTCCTGGGAAACAGTCCAGTTATGTCTGCTGTATAAATTGTTGTGCTGTTTGTGGAGATGACACTTGAAGATGGAAGATATTGTACAGCTTTTCTTTTTGAGAACGAGATTATGAATGGTATTTGCATCTAGGAGCACTTAAGTTATAGACATTTGACTGATATAATAATTGCTTTTATAGTGCAGTATTTTGACTGATTGTCACCATGTTAACGGTCTTCATTTTCATCTCTTTATTTTCTTATTTAGATCAGCCAGTGCATAGCATATTTTTTATGCATTTTTACTTTATAAAAAACTAATTATATTGACAAATTAGTAACTGCTCCTGCAGTGGCCTCTCATACAGCTGGCCCTTTCTGACCCCTTTCAAGTAAACCTGGTGACTATTCTCCAGGCATTCCCATCATCTTGACTCCTTTTAAGAACTCTTTATGTACAGTACTTGTATTTTCCTGATCAAGTTACACAGAACAACAATGGATCAGATGACAAACAACTTGCTGCATTTAGTTGAAAGTTTTATTAAAAAGTTTGATGAGGAGATAATGCTTGTGGAGATACTTAATTTTGGACTATTAGATACCCAAAAGGACTTTGATTTGAACCAAAGAGATATCCTTACAGCCAGAGAACTGAGTCAATTTCACACTCTCTTTGAAGCTCAAGTCTGCATTTTCTCACAGTGTTAGTAGTCTGGCTGAACAGGAAAGTGGCAAATTCTTTTTGTCTACAAAGACTAAGGGAGATTGGACAATGGATTTATTACACCTAGCTGGAAATCACTTCTCTCTAGACTTTGGTGGGAAGATAAGCTCATTGTGGAGACTAAATTTATTATACTTAATTAGACAACAATAGATAAGAGGTGGCTTTAAGAAGCAAATGTGGATATTTGATTCAGGACAAATTACTTTTAATTTTGGGATGATTTGGGATAGATAAGATGTCATGGTAAATTTTCTAAGAGTTATATATTAATCAGTATTCAGTTGGGGGGAATAGCACTAGCTATTACAAAGTTAGCGTATTGCCCTCAACAATCTTGGTCCTCATTTTACCGACCTCGGAAAGATGGAAGGCTGAGTCAACCTTGAATCCTATCTCAAGTGATAGAAGCTGAATGTCCCTTCACTTCCAAAATTTAGCCTATATATTACCTTAGCCCTAGAAATTGTGAAAGATTAGCCTACAGGCTAAATTTTGGAAGTGAAGGAACAAATTCACAAACTAGTAATTTTTGCAAATGAAGTTTTGCCTGGTATCTTATAAAAAAGAATAATGCTATACATAATGCTATACATAGAAACGAGTGACTAAATTTTAACTTTGGCAAGATAGAAATGTTTTTAATGGAACTGTCAATCTATGAAGGGACATTCAGCTTCTATCACTTGAAATAGGATTCTCCCTAAGCACTTTGCTTGGTGAGTGGTTGATGTGTTTGGATTTGATGTCTAGCTGTACCCAGGACTGTAAAAGATAGAAATGGCCATAGTGATGGTTTGAGTTCAGAATGGAGAAGGAGAAGTCTTTACAGTGGTGCTCTAGTAATGGAGACGTTTATTTAGCATCAATTTTACATATTTCAAGCCTCAGGTAAAGTTTTTTTTAATTGATACAAATATGTTGAGAATTGTTTTTAATGATTTTAATTTGCTGCCTTTTACTTCAGTTTCAGTAATTTTTTTGTTTTAAATTTTGGTTTATTGGTATCTTATGTCTGCCTGCCTGCCTGCCTGCCTGCCTGTCTGCCTGCCTGCCTGCCTGCCTGCCTGCCTGCCTGCCTGCCTGCCTGCCTGCCTGCCTGCCTGCCTGCCTGCCTGCCTGCCTGCCTGCCTGCCTGCCTGCCTGCTATCTATCTATCTATCTATCTATCTATCTATCTATCTATCTATCTATCTATCTATCTATCTATCTATCTATCTATCTATCTATCTATCTATCTATCTATCCATCCACCCACCCACCCACCCACTTACTTACTTACTTACTTATTTAATTTTTATGCCACCCACCTCTCCTTTTAGTTGACTCTGAGTGACTTATTTTATAGTGTGTGTGTGTGTGTGTGTATGTGTGCTCAAAAGTATGCAAATGCAAATAGCTCAAAAGTATGCAAATGCAAGTAGATTAATAGGTATTACTTTAGTGGGAAGGTAACAGCATTTAATTTGCCTTTGGCATAAAGCCATGCTAGCAATATGTCCACAGAAAATGTCTTCCGACAATGCTGGCTCTTTTGGCCAAGAAATGGGAGGAGCACCATGTCCTAGAGTTGGACACAACTGGACAGGGAATACTTTACCTTTAATTATATATATAATGTAGGGTATAAACTGGAGCTGAGAGCTGAATAATATTTTCAACACATTTTGTGACTTCCAAACCGAGATGTTTACAGGAGAATTAAAAAGCAATGTGATGGCCACCCCAACCTTGCAATCTGACCTCCTCACCAGCAACATACATAAAATAACAAGCATGCTGTGACTACCATCTTGCTTCTTTCCAGAGGCAAAATTTGCTTGGTATTTGCATATCTCTTTTAATCAGTGAACACAAGAATGAGGAAAGGTGTTTTTTTTTGGCAGACAGACAACCAAGATATATATTTTGCAAGTAAGATTTAAATAAAAGTAGACTTAATTAATAAACTTCTGGGGAAGATTATCTTATCCAGGTGCACACTATGAAAGTAGATACCCTCTTCTTCCCATGCAAATATTTGTTAGAGTTTGAATTCCTGAAGTGTTTTTTTTGTGTGTGTGTACAGGAAAAGGACTGTATATATATTGCTATTGTTATACATTATCTGTTGTGAAAATGGGAGATATAAACATGTTTCCTTCCTCCATTGGATTGGAACTTTTTTATTATTATTAAAAATATTTACATAGGTCAGTGCTTTTTGAGGTAGAACAAAAGATGTTTAAGGACAATTTCTCCATGTATCCATAGCAGCTTAAGCAAACTGTCAGTTCACATGGCCATTTGGGATAATTAATGAGATGTTTCCCATTTTACCCTAACCTCCATGCAAATGATGTCAGGAGGCTTCTAAATGGAGCAAAATTCCAGTCTTCTCCAGCACTGGAGATGGATAATCCACCAATGGGTTTAGACTGTGTTCCTGCCCAATCAGATCAAGTCAGCCAAAGTTGCAACGCCTGT